ACCCCCACCCCCAGAATCCACATCCCTGTCTCACTCTCAGGTGACAGAAACTTGGGGGTGCTGTTCTCAGCTCTGATCCCCAAAACCCAATGCCATTGATCTATTAAGAAAAACCTCCTCTCTTTACTACTTGCTTACTCACTCCTAATATATCATTTGTTGCAGAGATTCGCTCACCTACGAATGTCCAGACTACAAAACCGGTGGCCCCAACTCCTGTTACTTTAACAAGAAGCACACCTCCATCTGGACAATATACATCATCACAATAAAGGCCACGAACCAGATGGGAAGCAGTTCCTCGGATCCACGCTATGTGGATGTGACTTACATAGGTAAGGGGAAGGGCGATGGGTGAGGAGTGTGTTACTCCATTAGGCATCTACCGGTGGTCAAGCTTGGTGTGCGTATTCTCGGCTTATAGATGAATCGCCAAAAAGGAAGATGAAAAAATTCACAACGTCCCCATCAACCGAGTAGGTTAAACCCGTTTTTATTGAATCATTCATGACAGTAAGACTGACATGCGGGGTCCTTGTATTCCTCTGCTTTCCCTTGACTTCTTCCCCTCCCCTTGCATCCAACAGGCATGTTCTGTTTGAGTTTCCCTCATCAGTCCTTCCCTCCCGTCCTCTGCAACCAATGTCCCCTTCCCCCTTGGCAAGCTGGGGCTTCTTTTCTCTCTCCCCCTGGAGGACAGAGCTGCTCCCTGGAGTAGCAGCTCTTAGAAGGAGTTCTTCTGCTTCTACATCCACAGGACTAGCTCCAGCTCCTTTGCCCAAATTTAATTCTCAGTGTACATATACTTCTTAGCAACTGGAGCTCTTCTTTTAAAAATAAAGAATTTTGGGAGTAAAGAGTACTGCTGTGAACATTCATGTATGAGTTTTTGTTTGAACACCTACCTTCATTTCTTTTGGGTATGTTGGCTTGGGCATGATATTGATGGGTGATATGGTAATTTTATGTATAACCTTTTAAGTAACTTCCAGACTTTTCTACAGCTTCTGCACCATTTTACATTCCCACCAGCAATGTGAGGGAATGTCTCCAACATTCTCATTTGTTATTTTTCATTTTTCAATTTCAGCCATCCTAGTGGGTGTGAAATGATATCTCATTGCGACTTTGATTTGCATTTCCCAGTGACTAATGACATTGAGGGTCTTTCGTGTGTTTGTTGGCCATTAGTGTCTCCTTCAACTTTGTACCCTGCCTATCGCCCTTGCTTCAACCTGATCTCAACTCTCTGACCAGCACCTGACATAAAATACAAGGTATCTCATAACCATGGTGGAGTGAAACAGTAAGTCATATAGTTCTGTGTTCAAATACTGCTTTGACCAAATATGGGGTTTCTTTCCTATTTTTAGTTGAACCAGACCCTCCTATGAACCTGACTTTGGAAATAAAACAGCCAGAAGACCAAAAACCATACCTGTGGATAAAATGGCTTCCACCCACCCAGGTTGACATAAGATCCGGTTGGCTCACACTCCAGTATGAAATTCGGTTAAAGCCTGAGAAAGCTGCTGAGTGGGAGGTGAGTAAACCAGGAGCATTCAGAAGGAACCATGTCTTTTGGCAAAGATGAAGCCCTTCCTACTGGTAAAGGCCATTCCTCCTAATTTTGGGGCCATCACATTGCCCTCCTGATGGTGCTGTGACCCACCCAGACGTGGAAGGGCCTTCTTCACGGTGGGGGTGCATCTTCACATCTCCCAAGGCTAACTCCTTCTTTGCACTGAAATGAAAACCTCTTCCACCAGGTTGCCCACCCACCTCCCTCAGGATATCTTAGATCTAGAAACCTATGAGAGTGCTGCAATAGCACTAAGTGGGAGGGGGAAAATCTCAGTGTGACCAGTCAGTGGTCAGTGACATTTTTATTCAGTTTAAAATATTTTAATGTAAAGAAATAATACAGAGACCCTGGCCAAGTAGCTCAGTTCGTTGGAGTGTTGTCCCGATATGCCATGGTTGCAGGTTCTATCCCTGATCAGGGCACATACAAGAAGCAACCAATGATGCATGAATAAGTGGACCAGCAAACCAATGTCTCTCCCCCCCCATCAATCTTTTTAAAAAAGGAAATAATACAATAAATTATAAGCATTATGATATTCCACTCTTAAATACTTTAGTATATGTCTCTTTTAGAAAGGAAGCATTTTCAGTCAAAATAATAAGATCACATAGAAAACTAATTAAAATTTCTTAATACCATTCAAATAGCCAGTCCATATTTTAATTCCCCCAATTTTTTCAAAAAAAAAAATATCTTTAACAGCTAGTTCATCCAAACCAGCATCCCAGGACCACGCATTGTGCCTGGTCTTTATGTTCCTTTAGTCTCAACATGCTCAGGAGACTAGGCCCCTTGTCCCATAGACCTTATGCATTTATCTGATTAGTTTTTTGTGAGGTCACTTAGCTAGTTTCTGTGCCCCCATATTTTCTGTAACCAGACATTAGATCTAAAGACTTGATTAGATTCAGGTTGGACAGTTTGGGGTAGGAATACTTTAGAGATGATATTATATTGCTTCATATCACATCATATCAGGAGACACCATCTGGTTGACCTACCACAAATGACGCTAAAACTGACCTCTAGGTTAGGGAGATCACAACCTGAATTGTGCAGTCACATTTCATTTGTGCACTATTTAGTCAACGTACATGATGCCCAGTTCTCTTCCACCTGGTGGCTTGACTTGAATAATTCTTGAATCAATTATTTCATTAGGGTTTACAAAATAACAATTGTACAATGTTATTAACTGGTTACCTTCCATAAAGTAGAATTTAGAAGGCAGCGGGGAGGGTGCAGGATATTTGTCTTTCTGAAATGGAGTTCCAAATGGGAGATAGAAAACCTGTTAATTTTTGTGTGAACGATGTTTGAGAGTAGAAAGGGAGGGACTGAGAGGGAGAAATGGTGAGAACAGGGTATCTATTAAGTCTGATCATCCGGCCTCACTCCTCCAATTGTTTCTTCCCTAAGGGAAAAGTCTGTTTCTTCAGAACGTGAGTGAGAGTGACTCCTGTTTTCCTTGCTCCTCCTTAGATTCATTTTGCTGGGCAGCAAACTCAGTTTAAGATTCTCAGCTTATATCCAGGACAGAAATACCTTGTCCAGGTTCGCTGCAAGCCAGACCACGGATTCTGGAGTGAGTGGGGCCCAGAGGGCTCCATCCAGATCCCCGATGGTGAGTGCCTTGGCTACATTTTGCTTATATTCTTAAATATTTTTTTTATATTCTTAAATATTTTTAGAACAGTATGAATTTAGTAAATTTGCGTATCGTAACTACTAATAGAGAAACTATTTTGAGCCTTAGTCAGAGGGATGAGTAGAGGTGGGTTTATCGGTTCTCCACCCAACACAAAGACACTTGGCAGTGCAGCAGTGCTGTGTCTCTGGGTCACTGTTGGTGAGAACCAGTTTCTAGGATAAAGCTGCAGGCATGGGCTTGGCGTGTCTCCGAGGGCTTGGGGGCCGTTCCACCCTTCCCATCCTTGTCAGTTAGTCAAGGTCATCATCTAGTTCTCCCAGAATTTCTAAGGTGGCATCCCATCTGAAAGGCTTGAACTGAACTGATTGTCGGTCTGATGTTGGTCTCTTAGTCAAGGCACAGTATGTGAGAGGCACTCAGTTCTAAGTGTCCTTAAACACAGTGGCTTGTATTCCACAAGAGAATGATTCAGCACCTTGCCTTTCTAAAGTACTTAACAGTTTACAAAGTCTTTACCTTGTTTGGTCCTCTCAACCCTGTCAGGCATTCAGAGAGAATATAATTGTCATTGAGAATTAAAAATGAGGACTGTGAAGTTCAGTGACATTAGAAGTCTTGCCCAAAACCAAGTGGGGAAGCCCAGCACTTGTGACAACGGCCTGGCCAGAGTGTCAGGACTTGCACTGGTTAGTTGACTTGCACTGCCTTGTCGTACTGGAAAGAGTGCTGAACTGCGGGTCAGAAGACTTATATGCATCTTGTCCAGCCCTGGTCTTACTAAATAAAAACATAGGGTCTCGAGGCAGAAGGCCTGGATTCAAATCCCAGACTGCACTGTATAGTTACATGCCAGTGGGTCAATAACTTTGAGTCTCATCTTTACATACAAGGCAAAGTATGTAAAGAGCTTAACACCATTGATGGCTTATAGTAAGAACTTAATAAATGCTACCTTTTATTATTACTGCAACTGAGCGTGTGACCTCGAATTTCCTCTTTAAGTATAAACTAAAAGAATTTTGAAAAGTGTAGAGTACTATAAAATATATGGAACATATTAAGAATTAATAATATCAGAAAATTACCTATCATTAATGTTACCCTGGATTACTGTTCAAATCAAAAGATGTGTAGGAAGGGGGCAAAAACGTACGTTAGAAAGTTTCATTCACTGGTTTTGTTTGTTCGCTCATATTTAATGACGCTGTGTGTAATCAAAGCTCTCCGGCTGTTTCTTTTTAGATTCCACCAATACAGATACCACCGTCTGGATCTTTGTGGCTGTGCTCTCTGTTGTCATCTGTTTGATTATAGTCTGGGCAGTGGCTTTGAAGGGCTATAGGTACTTCATTGTCTGTCACCCTTCCCCCCAATCATGGTTGTCAGGGATAATGATTTTTTTCAAGGGGGAAAAACAGAGATGATGGAAACCTACAGATAATTCAAGCTCCTTACTTTAGCCATTAGCCGCAGTGTGTTCACCCATAAAAAAAAAAATATTTTGTCAGCGCTAGCAAAAGTCACAGAATGAACTCATCTGAAACCGGTGCTCTCTCCATCTTCCTGAGGCTCGCAGTTTGGAAATAGTAAAAATCTGTCAAGAGCAGCTAAAATCGAGAGAAGCAAATACTTCAGATATTTCATTAATTTTGTAATCAGCCCCCTGAGTCAGCCAGGGCTGATTTCGACGCTGGCCTCTATAATTATTGTCTTCACCACTGATTGTCAATTTCATGTAGCCCCAGAGCTTTAACGCCTCTACCAGAGTTCATGTAGCAGCTATTTAGAGATAATACTAATCTTTTAGAAATTACTAAGTGAGAAAATGAGTCATTTTTCCTATCTCACCAATTATTTTATAGCATGGTGACCTGCGTCTTTCCACCGGTTCCTGGGCCAAAAATAAAAGGATTTGATATTCATCTGCTGGAAGTAAGTGCCCGAGATGGAGAATGTATCCTGACTTGCTGATTTGTAATAATTACCTTTACACATGCACACACAGTCCCTGTCAGTTCAGCCTGGCGCCTCAGCCGTCCTCGCCCCGCTGTCCCTGCTCTTTAGAGAAAGATGTGTGAGGCATGCAGGTACTTCCTACGAGACATTAAATGTCAGAGGGAAAGAGAGAAAGCCAAGAAACCGTGACAACACATAGTAATGCTTGCTAGATTTACCAGGTCTATTCATAAGCACAGACATAAACATTTTGTACAAATAATCAATTTAGAAAAAAGGTGAATATCTTGTTTACTACAAAAGAGGGACCTACCACCACTCCCCATCATAGTTTGGTGCGTGTTTCCCCCCGAACGTTCTTTACAGAAGGCCACGGACACAGAATATTGTGTTGCAACGCTCGCTCTGTCTGAGCACATGGTTGAGGCTGGGTCAGTGCAGTGGGATGGTGTCTGCCTGGGCCCATTTAGGCTGCTTCAAGTGGGAATTAAATGCAAGTGTTTTGCCCGGCCGGCGTGGCTCAGTGGACTGAGCGTCGTCCTGTGCACCAGGAGGTCTCTGGTTTGATTCCTGGTCAGGGCACGTGCTGGGGTTTCAGGCTCAGTCCCAGATGTAGGCACCGGTACCTGACCTAAGTCAGAGGATCGGGAAGAAGAGTGGGAAGTAAGAGGGGGAGGCAGGAGGCAGAGTGAGTCGGAAGGAGAAAACATGAATTAGCAGGAGGAGGGGGAGGAGGGAGAGGAAATGGGGTAGAAGAGAGAGATATAGGACCGGAGAAGCGGGGGGAGGAAGGGAGACGTGGGTAGAGGAGGAGTTGAGAGGAGGGATTGAGGAGAAGCAGCTTACTGCTTTCAGATTCTAGGAAGTGGCGGTTAGGAGGCCAGCCACCGGGCCGCAGGGCCGCTGAGTCCCCAAGCGCCAAATGCACATATGAGCATGGTGGTTTTAGGTGTCGCACACACTCTTCTTATTTAACAGTTGTATGTTTCTTATCTGTGCGTGCACTCCTTGCCCATTAAACTCATGATCGTTATTGCTTAGAGAGAGACTAAGTTAAAATCGTGAATTGATTTAAAGATACATATTAGATGAATAGAAGGTCTAGGGGGTGATTATAATGGCCTGGCACACAGATGTCCAAAGCTTGGGAAATGCTGCTAGGCTGTTACCACATCCAGCTGCCATGGTCATGAACACAGGCTGCACTTTGATGCTGACCTGGAATGTTGTGAAGCTAACAGCCATTTCCTCTGTGTCTGTGTTTTAATAGAAGGGCAAGTCTGAAGAACTCCTGAGTGCCCTGGGATGCCAAGACTTCCCTTCTGACTGTGAGGACTTGCTGGTGGAGCTTTTAGAAGTCGTTGACAGTGAGAACCAGCAGCTGATGCCAGGCCATTCAAAAGAACACCCAGATCAAGGTACGAAGCCCAAACACCTGGATGCCGACACTGACTCTGGCCAGGGCAGCTGTGACAGCCCTTCCCTTTTGTCCAACAATTGTGAGGAGCCCCAGGAAAATCCCTCCACAGTCCACATTCCTGAGGGCATTGAGATGCCAGAGAACCCTGAAGGAAATGGTACCCACACCTGGGACCCTCAGAGCACAAGCTCGGAAGGCAGAATCCCCTATTTCTATGCTGATGGACCCAAATGTTCAACATGGCCTTCATCACAGCTCCCCAGCCAGCACAACACCAGATCTTCTTACCACAACATTGCCGATGTGTGTAAGCTGGCCATGGGCACGGCAGGTGCCTTAGCCACTTTGTTGGACAAAACAGACAAACATGCTCTACCATCTTTGCAAACCACTAAGACTGGAGAGGAGGAAACGGCAGCTGAGCAGAGGGAGGTGGAGAGCCTCCAACCCAAGACTGACCCAGACACCCCGTGGCTGCTGCCCCAGGAGAAAACTTCCTTTATCTCTGCTAAGCCATTGGATTACGTGGAGATTCACAAGATCAACAAAGATGGAGAGTTATCATTGCTCCCCAAACACAAAGAGAACAGCAACCAGACAGAGAAGGTCGGGGCTCCTAGAACCAGCAAGGAGTACGCGAAGGTGTCCAGGGTGATGGATAACAACATCCTGGTGTTGGTGCAGGATCCGCCTGCTCAAGACCTGGCTTTGTTGGAAGAGCCAGCTGAGGAAGCCCCAGCATCCTTGCAACAGAATCAAGAGGAGAAAGACCTGGCCTCCTTCACGGCGACACCAAGCAACTGCAGGCTCCAGCTGGGTGGGTTGGATTACCTGGACCCCACGTATTTAAAGCACTCTTTCCAGTGACGGCTTGATCGATGGAATGGTTGGTTAAAATGTGATTTTTTTCTTCAGGTAATACTACAGCGCACATGAAGTGTACTCTGCTAGAGAATGTTCTAGGATGGGGTTCAGATGATACCACTAAAACTCATGGTTCACTCCTCTTCATGCTCCATTTTCAACCAGTTGCCTCTTTCTCCAACAGCTGATTCCTAAACAGATCATTTTGTTTCCTGTGATTTGTCGATTTACTTTTGGCTATTAGTTATAAAATTGCATGTTCGACGCAATAAAAGCACATTGCTTAGTATTCTTGAGGGACAGTGCCAATGGGCATGGCCTTGGGAAAGCGTTCGTGGTCTGGGCTGCGGCAGGAAGAAATGGCGTAGCTAAAATAGTTCAGCACAGGAAGATGATGGATATGAGGACCATGCCATGGAGACTGCATTGAAAATCAATTGCTTACCCTTTGCACTCCTCTTTCACTCTATTGGGATTAACCAAACACAACACATTTAAAGAAAGGATGCGTGCCACAACACCTGACCAATTGTTTACATCACTTAGTGACACATTGCTGATATGCAAGTAAAAATTATTATGCCTGCATTTTTTTCTTAAAATAGTTGGGATTTGTTAAGCGTGGATTTCCCCTCCCCCCCCCTTCAAATTATATTTCATTCTAAAGCCTCAAGAGAATATAGTTTTGGAGTATGGAAGTTTCTTACAGCTGATGCAAATGCGTGTGATGTGGTAAATCCTTCTGAAATGTTTTCCTGCTTCATTTCAACATGACAGATAATTTATTATACACCCTAGTCTTCTCTTGGTGAAACAAAAAATCCCAAAAGAATAACCTTAATTTAAAAGATAATCACAGCAGGGTGATAATGGAGATACTGCCTTACTGTACATAGAGATTCTACTTTAATATAAGCCCATATGTTTAACAATGTATTTTTAGAAGACTATTTTTCTATCACTTAGGCAAAATAAAAGTATTTTCTATCTTCCCAGTACAGCTGTTTACGTATTCAGTGGGTACAGTATTTTCTGCTAGGAGGTTGTAATGAGCATTTACAGTACATAATAGTATATGCAGTCCCTGTTTGTGGAGTAAATGCCATACCAACCAAAGCCCACTGAGAAATGTAAAGCGGATGGCATATTCAATTCCTAATACAGTGTGGTATAGTTTATCTGATTCTTTTATCTCCAGGATACATTAAACAATCACCAACCTAGAGTTTTAGGGCTCCCCACAGACAGAAATTACTTCTCCTGTAATTTAGGGCTAATCTGGGGCCTCTGCTCTTCTCTGGGTGAATATTCATGAAGTCACCATGTAAAAAGAAAGGAGTGACATCCAACATACCGTTCTAGAGAGAGGGGTTTTGTTTTGCCTTGTTTTTCTGAGTAATCTTGGACAGCAAAGATATTTTAAGCAGACTCATGAGTTATCTCTCTGGACTAGATCCCATTTGCAAAGCCTTGGCAGACACAGAGACAACACTCACGTCAGAAGTATTCAAGTAAATGTTTTAAGAAACAGCATCTGTGGAGTGGTGGGAACAGCTACAAAGGTCAGGGTATGGTGGTAAGAACCTCCAAGTCACTTCCAAGAGCAGACTCCCCAGGAGGGGTCAAAAGCCTGGATCTCCATTTTAAAGAGAGTATCCATGACTCATGAACCGCCTCCCTCTATATTTTTTATTTCACCTGTTGGCAAATTCTTTCTCTCTGTCCACTCACTAGCTGGACTTAGAGAATTTGACCTCACCTCTGTGAGCAAAGTGTCCGAGCCCAACAATCCCACCCCAACCACGCAGAGGTGGCCTAGTGGTTGAAAGTGAACATACTGCCAGGGCTCCCAGATTGTAGAAGTAATAGATTGAAGCTCTATTCTCCCAATATGCAAACACTGCAAGAGTATGCGGAACATTTGGGAAAGTTGTCCAAGTTCATTCAATCCCCTAGATCTTTGCTACTCAAAGTCTGGCCTAAGGACCAGCTGTGTTGTCATCACCTGGGCACCCTGTGGAAATGCAGAATCTCAGCCTCCCTGCTCCAGACCTACAGAGTCAGAATCTGCATTTGACTAAGTTCCCCAGATGATCCATGTGGGTAATGAAGTTTGAGAAGCACTGCCCTACATGACCACTTCCTCTAAAGGTTATTTTAGTGCCTAGAAACCCCTCTTGGAAAGTACAAGTCAAGTATGCTTGACCAACACTGTAGGTAAGGAGAGGGCATAATTTTAAAAAATCTCTTAGTACTTTAAGGTTCACATGATGGTAGTGACTGACCTGCAAAAGTACACACAGCTTCCAAGAGGACTAGGGGATGTAATCCACCTTGAGTAGCATTGACCAAGACACTCCCCTTCAAAACCAATGCAGACTAAAATTTTCCCAAAATAGTCCATTGCTGTCCAAGATGTATATCAATCACTCTGATGGTTGAAAATTAAAAAATAATCTGATTTTGCCATATATGAAAAAAAAATTGTGGCTAAAGATTCAAGAACTGAATCCCTAAAAAACACCAACTAGCCATTCATTAAGTCAAGCCAAGACTGTATTTCTTGGTCAATTAGCACTCTATATTTGAAATAAGTTTTTTTTTTTCTTGAGTAGAATATTTTCTATCAAGGAAACAGCTAGTCGAATGGAAGAATGCAGATTGGGGGTCAAGAGCCCCGGGTTCTAGTCCTAACTATGTCACCTTAAATAGATCAATTCCTTTCTCTGGGCCTCAGTTTCCTCTGAAGGAAATATTGGGCCAAATAATTTCTAATTTCCTTTTAAACTCCAATTCCATGACTCACTGAATACTTTCTAGCCAAGATAATTCAATCAATGCCTTGTATCTTAATTAAACTAATAAATAATTGCCCTTCATCATAGGAATACAAGTACCCTTTAGTGATGTGCTTATTGTAGTTCCCTTTTAAATCATCAGGTGGGCCTAACACACTGCATGTGCATTTTGTAAATTACATAGGTACAGAATCATAGTCTAAGATTATGTGCAAATATGTGTGGAGAGAGAAGCACGAGATTTTTTTTTTTAAAGACATATTGAATGTGGCTCTGCTTTTTAGAAAAATGATCTTTTTCTGAATTAAGCCATGTTTATTCCTTGCTAAGTCCAACAACCCCAATCTCTTTACTTACAGCTGGCTGCTGGTTCTGATATTTTTTTTCTCTCTCCTGGATTACCAACCAACACTGCACAGTTGGTTTAAAGAGTCTTATGCTCCGAATTACAAAAAGTCATATTTTTCTAAATGAACGCCTAAATATTCATGTTACAAAGCACATGGAAACATGATAGCCAATGGGTGACTTGTGGAAGCTGATGACCCAAACTGCAAAATGTGCTGTGGTCAGTTTTTACAAATGGGTATTAGGCACCTCAACATGAGCACAAGTTACTCTCGGCCACGTTGTTGACATGAACTGACTCTTCTTTCTCCTAAGTGCCTAAGGCCAGTCCTGGTAGGCAGTTATGGACTAAAACTTGCTTTCGCTGGGTCGGTCCAAATGGGTCAGTCCCTTAGCAGAAGATCAAGGAGTTTGCTTTTCCCACAGTGACCCAACTGAATCAGAGAATCCTGTGAGTTAAGGAGCAACTGGGGGGCTGTGGAGGAAATCTGGCTCTGGCTCTGGCTCTGGCTGCCCAGCGCTTCCAGAAAGACTTGGCCCTGCCTTTAGTAACTTCCCTTAGAGTAGACAAGAAAGAAACAGATTTATACGCATTTTACAAAGTGCCTTTCTTTACTTTTATATTTTTTTAAAGTTTTTCCTTTTTACAAAGAAAAAAAAAAAGTGCATTGAATGGAAAGTAAGTTTGCTTTTTTTTATGTAAATGAATGGAGAAGCCAGAAAGGGATTGATAAAATGGCCTAAGGTCCAACCAGCAACTGTTTAGCAGATTTTTTAATTTCTTGTTTAACTGAATTACCACAGAGTTGATGTGAATAGTGTAACTTACTTTGATAAGAAATTGACTCTGGCTAGGGTTTGGGAATCAGCTTGCCAACCCCAGACTTCAATTTACAAGCATACTGAGCACTTTTGAATGGCTGTGGATTGCATGCCTGGGCCTGAAAAGACAATGCACCCACAATGGAACTTGCACACATACAGGGAAACGTAAAGGACTCTGGGTTACTACCCATTTGTCATTGATAAAAGTGCCATGTGTATGTCAGTGAGCACATTTCCTTTTCTGCCTTTTTAGCTCAAGCACAGCTGTGTTGTTGCTGGGGTTGTGGGCTGAGCATTCCGTTCGTTTCCAGGTCTAGGTCACACTGTTGCCACTAAACAGGCTGTGTAACTTTATGCAAGTCCTTTAGACTCAAGTCACCAGTAGTGCATTGGCCTGAAATGTTTCAAAGACCTGTTGCAACTAGAACCATCTTTGATTCTCATGATCTCAGTAAAATCTCAAGTTTCTGGTGAAAGGCCCAAGTACAGCTAGAGAAGCACTGTTGATGTGCCCTCAACCTGAAGCAATGAGCCATGTGGCTGTAGCGAAGCTCGAGAGACAGACAGAGATCCATTCCTCTAAGTCAGATCGATGTGATTTAACATCTTCTTAGCTGTCCATACTTGTAGGCTCTTTCTTCTCTCACTGCAGGGCCTATATTTTTCCTAGGAGTTAATCATAGCTGTAGCAACCTTAGGAGCTGCAAAAAACGGAATTACTCCTCAACAATGACTATGGCCCTGCAAAAGACTAAGTCAAATCAGTTAAATCAGCCACACAGACATCAAGGCCCAGGTTGAGGGGCACAAGTAACTTAATTTGGAGATTTGCATCATTGGAGTTCCTAACTCTATTAATTATAATTATAATTAATTTAAAGGCCATTAATCCAAGGAACATTGATGACTCCGTCCTGGAGGTCTTAAACAGAAACTTAACAATACAGAATGATTGCGTGAGAGCTTGTGATCTAACCAGGGCCCTATCTATAACTGTGGCCTGGATGTATTCCAGGATAAGCAAATCAAACAGGAGCTCTCTCCCCAGACTGGTGTTTCTCAGGAAGGTGGTTTTTGGTCTGAGACCCTCATGGTATCTATTTCAAAGAAAGGGAAAAGATAGAAAGATAAAAAAATAGGACATTTCTAGAGGTCTGGGCATTTCAGAATTCCATAAAATGCTGAGAGTAGCCTGCTAAACCCAAATTTTATGAGACCTGGTGAATCCATAACCTGTTCGGTGTTCTGAGTGTAGGCTAAGAGATGTACACAACTCAGAGCACCACATGCCCACCACGGGTTTGCCCGCATCGATTCCTTCGATCTATGCTCTGATTTCCAGTCGGGAAGAATTGAGACGTGCAAATGGGAAAACAACATGTCCTGTTTACGTGGTTGTGGCCAATGAGTAGACAGACCCTTGGATAGTCTCAGTCTATTAGTTAATTTTCACCTGCTTCTGATTAAAAAGAAAAAAAAATTAACTCTCACAACTTTGGCTACTAAATAGTAATATCAAAAATAACCTTTAATAGTTATGGTCAAATAATGCTTCACCTGGACAAACTTTAAAATATAGCCAGTTTTTCCATAAAAATTTCACAAGTTCTGGGGGGGAAAAATCTTTTTTGTTACACTATCTGAAATTGAAAAACTACATGACAGAGAAATCATTTTATAAAATTCCTGATGAAATTATTTTGAGATTTTTAAAGTAACTACCTCCCCTTCTTGTCCTAATGCCCTTTCTTCAAAGCTGCTTATTGTTGAGAGCAAAGGATATCACGTCTCACGCTTTGACTACTTTTCAGTGGTATATTTGTTATATTTGCCATGTGATGTTCCTGACTTTAACTATTATTTTATATTATATTGCTTTATGTGGTTCAAAAACTCTATGACACATTGAAATATATAGCCAATGTTCATATTGTGAAACTCATGTAAGACTAATGAAAATAATTATTTAATGACTTATAATCTATCCATATGTAGTTTCAATATGATTGTGTCAATGTCTGTAAAACAAAACCGAAGGAAATATGTAATCATATAATTCTGTTGAAACCGTGAATACACTAATTTTTTTCTTAATCTTTGTCTAGAAGTAGTAAAATACGCCATTTGTACAGCTGATCTGGGGTGTTATGTGTTTAACGTGCAACCATCAGTTGTTTGGAAGTCCATCAAGCCCTCAGCTTTGCTCCCTGTGACCTCTGATACTTCTTGAGTGTTATCTGCATCATGAGGCCTGCTTTTGTGCTAGATCGTTCATTTTTTAAAAGTTCAGTCTCATGTGGAAACCAAAGCAATGGAGAGCAGCCCGTGGGGCGATCCGCGTCGTCTGTAAAGCCATACTGAAGTCCAGGCTGTGTCGCAGCGTAAGGTTCCATGGTTTCAAAGCTACCACTACCTCTGCTTTTCCTCTTCCTTAGAAAATGCCAAGCAAAATTCTTCAGCATTAAGTGGGAAATGAGAAGTGATTGTTACAAACGTTGTGGGAGGGGTTTATTTGTTGTTTGTTTGTTTGTTTTTTACATGAGAATACACCTTCTAATTCACCACTTTGCAGGTTTTCGCTAGGTTGTCTCAATAGCCATTTTTACATTTACTGAAAACTAGAAGACCAGTAAGGACCAGCGAAAAGACATAGTAAGTCGCCAAGGAAAAAACAACAAAATCAGAGAGCAGACTTTTTTCCTAACAAGTCACCTGTTGCCCAAAGTCATGATGATGGTCTCTCTCGCAATATAATTTCCCTGATCTCACACAGAAATAAATCTTTTCCTTATTTGATCTTAGACGTCAAACATTATGGTATGGGAAAAGTCAATCACATATCAGAAATAATCTTGTTTCAATTTTTAAATTTTAGTTCTACATGTACTTACTATAATGCTGATTTTTTTTTTTTTTTTTAGCCTTAAAGAATTACAGAATACGACAGTCATCTGATTTATCTTGCATTCTTAATTCTGTAAATCTTTGGTAATTGCACATTGTGTTTTTTGTTTTCGGTGGATTTACTCATTTGTCTCCTTCCATTTTGAGGAGACAATGTGGAGAGTTAAATCTTTGTCAACAGTATGGGAGACTTTGCTAACTGCTGTTATAACATCTTCATTTTTACTGCACGCCAAAAACAATGCTTGCCAAACAAAATCTTAGACATCCAGTACAATACAGTCATTATATTTCTATTCATGTTATTGAAAATTCCCAGCTCAGTACCTGGCTCAATAAATGTTTATTTCCCTTGCCTACCCTTCCTCTATTTTTTTTTAATTATTTGACTTGGAAGTGAGCAGAATATCATGTGTGTGGGTGAAACAATTTTCCTGAAGAATTTTTGCTGCAAAAGGATCTGTGATCCAGAAATTGTTGGTATAAGTTGAACCAAAACAACTTTAGCATCACGCTTTCATATGATTGCAAACGAATTGCCCCTTTACCTGTCCCACTCGCATGAAAAGCTGCTAAAACNTATGATTGCAAACAAATTGCCCCTTTACCTGTCCCACTCGCATGAAAAGCTGCTAAAACTGAGGTGAGATGGACCCATGAACATGAGCATGAAGTCAGAGAAGCTCATTTAAATATTGTGAAACCAACAAAAGACCAAACCGTGAAAAAATTACAATAAAGGGATTCTTTTGAACAGTATGAATCTTCCATATTACGAACATCCTTCCTGACGAAACCCATCGGGCTAAGTGTAAAATGATAACCTTTTACTCTGGAGGACTCTGGGCCTAGAGCCTTGGCTCACCGTTGACGCTTGCGCAGAGCTATGAAATGGTTTGGGGTCTGTTTCCAAACTTTCCTCGGCCTCCTGCTCTCTAACGCCG